GAGAGAGAGAGAGAGAGAGAGAGAGAGAGAGCAACCTCAGCAACGGATCCCCTTAACACGGCTCAGACGGCCCATGCAGGCTATCTGAAGGGTCCTCGCAGCCATGTAGCGCAATCCCCCCCCAAAACTGAGGCAGGCAGCGCATATGAAGTAGAGCACGAGCTGGCCGAATATATACTCAAGATTTGAGTTCAGGTTTGTGTTTCAGCAGTTATGGCTTGCTCGCGTAGCTAGGCCCTGTTGGTCTCTGCACGTGACTCTTAGGGCTTGGCTGCTCTACTCACGAAATGTGCAAAATTAGAATCAATCTTCTGCAGAACGTGGAATAATACGCCACCATATGTTTTGTCTTTTCTGCATTTGGTGAGTAGAGGCCCTTAGGGCCACTGCACGTATTCCTGAGAAAAGAAAAACGAGAAAAGAAAAGAAAAACGAGAAAAGAAAAGAAAAACGAGAGAAGAAAAGAAAAACGAGAAAACAGAGAAATAGTGACCCATAACCGAGATGCACAGACCTGAATTCGAATCCAGACTATATATTCTCTGCCCACGCTCACGAAGTACAAGTTTGAATTGTACCTCTGCATGACATAGGGTCCTAGCTAGTATGCTGTAGGGATCCTACGGAAAAGAGGCTGGAGCCGCTGGACCCAACTAGGACATGAATACTCAGGAGCCAGGGGAATGTTTGGCCACCCCACACTGTCCTTTCAACTTTTTCATTTTTTTAATTTTTTTTAATGCGCCGCTGCAAGTATGAAAACAAACAAACAAACAAAGAAAACCAAACCCCCTCGTAGACTTTCCGGGCCGTCTGGATCGTCGGTGAGGGTGGAAAAAAATAAGGCACTATTTTTTTTGGGCGGCCCAAACGCCCCAGACCACCCAAAAAGAATTTGGCCATTGGCCCAATGGCCAAATTTTTTTTGGCCCTCACATCCGGACCAAGATCCAGACCCAGACCACGGACGGTCCGGATCCCTGTCCGGTGGTCTGGATCGTAGCCATGTTCCTAACCCATAACTGCCGACATGCAGACCTGAATGCCAATCTTCAGCACTGTTTCTCTCTCTCTCTCTCTCTCTCTCTCTCTCTCTCTCTCTTCTCTCTCTCTTCTCTCTCTCTCTCTCTCTCTCTCTCTCTCTTCTCTCTCTCTCTCTTTCTCTCTCCCTCTCTCTCTCTTTCTTCCTCTCTCTTGGAACGATATGATCCATTCTTTCCCAAAAAAAAAAGAAAAAGGGAAAAAAAAGAGGAACTATACAGAGAAGAGAAGAGAAGATGAGCATGGGCCCCCCTTCTCTCTCTCTCTCTCTGTGTCCTTCTTTCTTTCCTCTCTTTCTCTCTCCCTCTCTCTCTCTCGCTTTCTTTCTCTCTCTTGGAACGATATGATCCATTCTTTCCTAAAAAACAAGGAAAAAAAAAAAGAAAGAGGAACTATACAGAGAAGAGAAGATGAGCATGGTCCCCCTTCTCTCTCTCTCTCTGTGTCCTTGTCTCTGTCCTCTCTCTCTCTCTCCTCTCCTCCCTAACTTGCCTCCCCCTCCCTTCTCTTCCCTTAAGAGCCCTCTCTCTGCTAGATCCTAGCACCGTCGTTCTTTTTTTACCTCCGACAATTTGGACTCCTTGGGCATTGGTAAGACTCTAAAGAGGACTAGATTGCAATGTATGTGCGAGGGTTCATAAAACTGTACACTTTGAAATGACATTGTGGTCCTTATTGATTTAGAAATTAGAATTGCGTTTTAGTATTCGAAAGATACATATACACAGTCGAGCAAATTTTGATCCGCCCCAAGGGCATTTTCAGAGTAGGACTTTTTCGAACGAATCTGGTAGTAATTGCGGGCAGATTCATTCAAAAAAATCCTGCTGTGAGTATGCCCTATGACAGCACGTTGGAGAATTGATGAACTAGAAACAGGTGAAGCGGAATCAATCACACATCCACTGTGGCAAAGCAGCTCACTCAAGAAACACAAATAAGAAAAAAACGGAGGAAATGGAAGCATGCAGAGATCCAAAGGTAACCGAAACAATGAAGAAATAACAAGCAGATAGCACACGAAGCAAAGGAATGCAAAGGAATGCATTTCACAATTGGACAGCCAGCGTGGAGAATCATTGGAGATCCAGTGTGTTACGTATCGAGCTAATTTTCTGTGATATCTTCGCAGTATTTCACCAAGGGAGAGGTAGAGTGCGCGCGCGCGCTCCAGAGAGAGAGAGAGAGAGAGAGAGAGAGAGAGAGAGAGAGAGAGAGAGAGAGGCTAGTACACTATCCAGGCGACTGACTCGGATATCCACCAGGCACTAGTTTTTCGCAATTTAAAGAACTAGTTTCGCTCTGGTGCTGCTTCAAGCTTAAGTAAGAGCAGGAAAGAAAGGTTCTGTTCCTGTTACATACCACAGATTCGGGGCGACCATGTGGGAAGTTAAAGCGACCGCCGGTAACTGATTTGTGGCCACAGTCTTCTGTCTCAAGTTTCTCTCTCTCTCTCTCTCTCTCTCTCTCTCTCTCTCTCTCTCTCTCTCTCTCTCTCTCTCTCT